TAGCTGCCCCAATCAAATTTACGGACGTTCTGATAGGACTGGTGCCAGGAGTTAAGGCTCCTGCAGTTGATATAACGGATCATATTCCAAATATAGTAACCACACGCACCAGCAAAGCAATGCGTGTCCAGACGAGACGTGCTAAATTAGAGGATAACGAACCGCGTTCCCTCGTAGTACCTAAAATCGCTTTGGAAGACGTAACAAAGACGGATCTTGTTGATGAGCAAAATAAATGTACCACTCTTAATGATGTGAGACTAAAAGTCGCCAACAAAACCTTGGTTGCCGTGAAAAATAGGACTATTAAATTTGAGAAAATCAATGACTTAATTTACAGGGTATGTGTTAAAAGTAAGAATGAACATGAAATTGGGATGAAACAACTTGTAATACCAAGTAAGTTCAGACCGTACATTTTAGCTACTGCTCATGATTCGTCAGTTGCCGGACATTTTTCTCACAGGAAAACCTCCGAAAAGATCTTTTATAAATTCTTCTGGCCAGGTGCGGGCGCTGATATTAAGCGTTACTGCCGCTCATGTCCCGTATGTCAAAAGTTTTCTCCCAAGGGCAAAGTAAGAAAAGTACCTTTAGTATCGATGCCCATTATTAGTGAACCGTTCACAAGGGTGGCGATAGATCTTGTCGGACCACTTACTTCATCGAATAGAGGTCATAAGTATATACTTACTCTGATAGACTGCGCGACTAGATTTCCTGAAGCCGTTCCACTCAAAAACATAGATTCGGTAACTGTTGCTGAGAACTTGATAAACATCTTTTCTAGAGTGGGTATCCCTAAAGAAATTCTGTCAGATAGAGGGACGCAATTCAAATCTGACTTAATTAAAGAGGTAAATAGATTGCTATCAATAAAAGCAATATTCACAAGTCCGTACCATGCTGCATGCAACGGAACAGTTGAAAGATTTCATGCTGTGTTGAAATCCATGCTCAGGAAATTGTGCACGGAACAACCTCGCGAATGGGACAGATTAATTCCATCAGTATTGTTTGCTTATCGTGAAATACCGAACGATACACTGAAATTTTCACCTTTCGAGTTATTGTACGGTCGAAAAGTTCGCGGACCCTTATCTATTTTGTACGAGTTATGGACCAATGATCAGCTTGACAGCGAAACTAAGAACACGTATCAATACGTCTTGGATCTTAGAAAAAGGTTAGAGGAATCTGCCCAAATGGCTGCTGCTCATGCCAAAGTTAACAGCAAACTCTATAAATCTTATTTCGATAGATCTGCAAAGTCTCGTAATTTTAGCGAGGGCGATGAAGTGCTGGTCTTGCTTCCATCCACTCACAATAAATTAACCATGCAGTGGAAAGGGCCTTATACAGTTAGCAAACGTCATGAGAATGGAGTGGATTACCTAGTAAGAGTAAGAAATAGAATTAAGTTGTATCACATAAATATGTTAAAGAAATTCTTCAGAAGAGAGAGCAATAATGATACTAAAAGTAAAATTTGCCAAATTTGCATAGTGAATGATGATCAGATAACCAACGACGTGTGTGACATATCCGTGTTGGAGAATTCCCCTACTAAATTTAACATTAATCAGAATTTGAGCAACGAGCAGAAACAACAAATGAATGAGCTACTCCTTAAGTATTCGGATGTCTTTTCCGATGATCCGGGATTAACAAAGACTATTACGCATGACATAACTTTGACGAACGAAACGCCCGTGCATCGCAAACCTTACCCATTGCCTTTCCATTTAAAGAAATCGTTTGATGAGGAAGTAGATAGAATGCTCAGACTAGGAGTCGTTGAACCATCTACTTCACCATATTGTTCTCCTGTCGTCTTGGTGAAGAAGGCAGATAATACATTTAGGTTCTGCGTGGACTTCAGATCACTTAATGATATTAGCCTGTTTGATGCCGAGCCAATGCCGACGATAGATGAAGCTCTATGTAATTTCGTAGGTGACAAATATTTTTCGGAAATTGATATGTGCAAGGGATACTGGCAAATACCATTAAGCGACAGATCAAAACCGTATACCGCTTTTGCTACTAACAGAGGCTTGATGCAATTTACTAAAATGCCATTCGGGTTAAAAACAGCATGCGCGACATTCGTGAGGCTAATGAGAAAAGTCCTTGTAGGTCTTAGAAATACAGAGTGTTACTTTGACAACATCGTAGTACATAATTCAAGTTGGGAGAATCACCTCATTGATTTAGAAAGCTTGCTAAAGCGTTTACATGAACATGGACTTACTGCTGGCCCAAGGAAATGCTTCATTGGCTACTCAAATATTAAATATCTTGGCTTTTCCTTAGGGAACAACTGCTTATCCCTAATTAAAGATAGAGTTCAAGCTATAGTAGATATGCCTCTCCCGAAAACAAAAAAACAATTAAGATCTTTCATTGGAACAGTTTCCTTCTACCGCAAATTCATACCAAATCTTGCTGACATTTTATCTCCAGTCAATATACTTCTGAAGAAATATAACAGTAACAAGTTAGAATGGAGTGACGAACAAATTCGGAACATTAACATCTTAAAGGATAAGCTAGCCTGTGCTCCTATCTTGACTTTACCTGATTTTTGTAAAACTTTCTATTTGAGAAGTGATGCATCTGACACTGGTTTAGGTGCCATATTGTTGCAAGATGTTGATGGAATTTTAATGCCTATCGCATATGCTAGCCGAATGCTATTAGATCGCGAGAAGAAATATGCCATTATAGAGCGAGAATGTCTCAGCGTTGTTTGGGCTATAAATAAGTTCAGAAATTATTTGTATGGACGGGAATTTATACTACAGACAGATCACCAACCTTTAGCCTACTTAAGAAAAATGAAAAATGAAAATGGTAGACTTATGCGCTGGTCGCTGGCTTTGCAGGAATATTCATTTAATATAGAATATATTAAGGGCAATGTCAACTTTGGTGCTGACGTTCTGAGTCGTTGTGTATAGAGTGAAACCCACCTTTTAACTTAAATGTGAAATTTAAGTTAAAATGGGGGGCTTTTGTACAGGGTTTCGGTGGTAGTTTCCCTCTTCTTGAGATTATATTTGTGGTTTTGTATATGTGCGCGTATGGGTGTATGGTCGGACTGCGTGAGCCATTTCCTTGCCTCCGCCGAACCACAAATCCGACACTTGCTTCGAAGCATTCTTAGTCGTGGTCGGCGAGTACCCGAGTACGACCGGTCACTTCACTCCGATCTCCACACCTGTGCACTTGTCCTCCAAATTCTGTGCCCAAGTTAGCTACAGCTGCCCAGTGTGTTACGGCTGCCCAGTGTGTTACGGCTGCCCAGTGTGTTACGGCTGCCCAGTGTGTTACGGCTGCCCAGTGTGTTACGGCTGCCCAGTGTGTTACGGCTGCCCTGGTGTGTTACGGCTGTCCTGGTGTGTTAACGGGCTGTCCGGGTGTGTTACGTGCTGTCCTGGTGTGTTACAGGCCTGTACCTGGTGTGTTACGGCTGTCCGGTGTGTTAACGGCTGTCCTGGTGGGGTACGGCTGTCCTGGTGTGTTACTGCTGTCCTGGTGTGTTACGGCTGTCCTGGTGTGTGTAACGGACTGTCCTGGTGTTAGGCTGTCCCTGGTGTGTACGGCTGTCCTGGTGTATTACGGCTGTCCTGGTGTATTAACGGCTGTCCTGGTGTATTACGGCTGTCCTGTGTAGTATTACGGCTGTCCGGGTGTATTACGGCTGTCCTGGTGTATTATGGCTGTCCTAGTGTTAGTGAAATTTTTGTATATATTTTGAAAAATATATTGATAAAGAAAAAAACTTGATAATTTATCTTCTCCTTGAATCGGTTGATCACCCAAGGGTCGTGCTTAATTAAAAGAACCCCTGACAAATGGGCGCAGTGAGTAGGATGGCCCTGTTGATTTGACCGACTCAAGGAATTCATTTTTTTTTCATCTTCAATTCTTTTATGTTTTCTCAGGTGCTGATTGTAATGCGGAGAGCGGAGTGGCTGACCGGCTGTACTGTGTGGTAAATGGTATCGAAATGGAGGATGAAGTGCGTGTTTATAGTCGTCGTTTATAGTCGTTATAGTTCATTAACGGAAGTGGGACGCTCGCGTAGTAAATGTTCAATCTGCATTTGCGTTCAGTGAGTTCCGCGTTAGGTCGGATAAGTGTCCTTCCGTGAAGTCTTCTAACATTGCTACATTAGTTTCTTATAACTCGGGTATCAGTCTGAGTTTACTCATTAATGAAAACTGCGTTCAGTGATCTAGCCCTAACCTGCAGCGACTTTCATGTAAAGCGTAATATTTCTGCCCTTTTTCGTTTAAATTGTGATTTTTTTATATCTGACTTGAACAGATATTTTCACTAAGTATTACTTATTTCAATCGTACGTTAGTATAAGCAAGCTAACTTTATTATTTAATAGTTTTAACTCTAAGTATTTTTTTAGTTTCATTTAAACTAACCATGGCTTCTATTAATCTAATAGATTTATTCAAACATGCTACTGAAGCTGGCCTTAGTTCTTCAGACATTAATGCTTTAATTGCGCGAGAGGAAGATAGACACGCCAAGTTAACTGAGAGAGAGGAGAGACAGAGGGAGAGAGATTTAAAAAGAATTGAAATAGAGGCAAATGAAGCAGATAAACAAAGAACACATGAGTTAGAATTAGAGAAGTTAAGATTAGACCAAAAGAAATCCGAGCTTCGAACAGATTTGGCTTTTCCTGGATTAAAGATACCGATATTTATTGAAGGAAAAGATGAAATTGATGATTTTCTTAAGCGATTCGAGAGATTAGCCGAATTACAGAACTGGGAATGGAAAAATTATCACGTTTATCTTGGTTCGTTCTGACAGGTAGAGCTTTAAAAACCTATGTGAGTCTTCCAGATGAAGTTTTGCTCAACTATACTCAATTAAGAGAGGCCTTGTTGAAAACATATTCGGTTGATGCTGAATCTTATAGACGAAAGTTTCGTGAGAGTAAAGTAAATGATAATGAAACCTATGTACAGTTGATAGCAAGGATGGAACAATATCTAAATAACTGGTTGTCTTTGAGTAGCATAGAAGGAAGCTACAGTAAACTTTGCGAATTTCTTATCAAAGATCAGCTTCTAAGTAACTGTCCGTCTGATCTGAGAGTATTCTTGAAAGAGAGGGAGTTCGACAGTACCCTTGAATTAGCGCAAGCGGCCGATAGGTTAGGTCGGCTCATAAAAACTTCAGATCACGAAGGATGCTTCAGTCTGTAGATGACACAGTAATAGGTCTGTTAAGTTCAGTGTAACTTGCCATAACTGTCATAAAACAGGACATATCCGCCCTAACTGCCCAGAATTGAAAATCCCGATACCAAAGTCATTTGCCCATAAGGTTAATTTTGTATCAAGAACCGATATGGCCCCAACGAATACAGTTACAAGTAAGGGTTACGTATTCAATAAATCTGCTCGTATACAATTTGATTCTGGCTGTGATACTGTAATTATAAAGGAATCATTACTCCCCCCTAATGTTAGGAAAGGAAGATTGGTTGCCATAGCTGACTACCTAGGTTTCACGAGGAAGTTTCCAAAAGTTCGTTGTTATATCAGAAGTAAATACCTAAATGGGTGGGTGAATGCAGTAGCTGCCCCAATCAAATTTACGGACGTTCTGATAGGACTGGTGCCAGGAGTTAAGGCTCCTGCAGTTTGATATAACGGATCATATTCCAAATATAGTAACCACACGCACCAGCAAAGCAATGCGTGTCCAGACGAGACGTGCTAAATTAGAGGATAACGAACCGCGTTCCCTCGTAGTACCTAAAATCGCTTTGGAAGACGTAACAAAGACGGATCTTGTTGATGAGCAAAATAAATGTACCACTCTTAATGATGTGAGACTAAAAGTCGCCAACAAAACCTTGGTTGCCGTGAAAATAGGACTATTAAATTTGAGAAAATCAATGACTTAATTTACAGGGTATGTGTTAAAAGTAAGAATGAACATGAAATTGGATGAAACAACTTGTAATACCAAGTAAGTTCAGACCGTATATTTTAGCTACTGCTCATGATTCGTCAGTTGCCGGACATTTTTCTCACAGGAAAACCTCCGAAAAGATCTTTTATAATTCTTCTGGCCAGGTGCGGGCGCTGATATTAAGCGTTACTGCCGCTCATGTCCCGTATGTCAAAAGTTTTCTCCCAAGGGCAAAGTAAGAAAAGTACCTTTAGTATCGATGCCCATTATTAGTGAACCGTTCACAAGGGTGGCGATAGATCTTGTCGGACCACTTACTTCATCGAATAGAGGTCATAAGTATATACTTACTCTGATAGACTGCGCGACTAGATTTCCTGAAGCCGTTCCACTCAAAAACAGATTCGGTAACTGTTGCTGAGAACTTGATAAACATCTTTTCTAGAGTGGGTATCCCTAAAGAAATTCTGTCAGATAGAGGGACGCAATTCAAATCTGACTTAATTAAAGAGGTAAATAGATTGCTATCAATAAAAGCAATATTCACAAGTCCGTACCATGCTGCATGCAACGGAACAGTTGAAAGATTTCATGCTGTGTTGAAATCCATGCTCAGGAAATTGTGCACGGAACAACCTCGCGAATGGGACAGATTAATTCCATCAGTATTGTTTGCTTATCGTGAAATACCGAACGATACACTGAAATTTTCACCTTTCGAGTTATTGTACGGTCGAAAAGTTCGCGGACCCTTATCTATTTTGTACGAGTTATGGACCAATGATCAGCTTGACAGCGAAACTAAGAACACGTATCAATACGTCTTGGATCTTAGAAAAAAGGTTAGAGGAATCTGCCCAAATGGCTGCTGCTCATGCCAAAGTTAACAGCAAACTCTATAAATCTTATTTCGATAGATCTGCAAAGTCTCGTAATTTTAGCGAGGGCGATGAAGTGCTGGTCTTGCTTCCATCCACTCACAATAAATTAACCATGCAGTGGAAAGGGCCTTATACAGTTAGCAAACGTCATGAGAATGGAGTGGATTACCTAGTAAGAGTAAGAAATAGAATTAAGTTGTATCACATAAATATGTTAAAGAAATTCTTCAGAAGAGAGAGCAATAATGATACTAAAAGTAAAATTTGCCAAATTTGCATAGTGAATGATGATCAGATAACCAACGACGTGTGTGACATATCCGTGTTGGAGAATTCCCCTACTAAATTTAACATTAATCAGAATTTGAGCAACGAGCAGAAACAACAAATGAATGAGCTACTCCTTAAGTATTCGGATGTCTTTTCCGATGATCCGGGATTAACAAAGACTATTACGCATGACATAACTTTGACGAACGAAACGCCCGTGCATCGCAAACCTTACCCATTGCCTTTCCATTTAAAGAAATCGTTTGATGAGGAAGTAGATAGAATGCTCAGACTAGGAGTCGTTGAACCATCTACTTCACCATATTGTTCTCCTGTCGTCTTGGTGAAGAAGGCAGATAATACATTTAGGTTCTGCGTGGACTTCAGATCACTTAATGATATTAGCCTGTTTGATGCCGAGCCAATGCCGACGATAGATGAAGCTCTATGTAATTTCGTAGGTGACAAATATTTTTCGGAAATTGATATGTGCAAGGGATACTGGCAAATACCATTAAGCGACAGATCAAAACCGTATACCGCTTTTGCTACTAACAGAGGCTTGATGCAATTTACTAAAATGCCATTCGGGTTAAAAACAGCATGCGCGACATTCGTGAGGCTAATGAGAAAAGTCCTTGTAGGTCTTAGAAATACAGAGTGTTACTTTGACAACATCGTAGTACATAATTCAAGTTGGGAGAATCACCTCATTGATTTAGAAAGCTTGCTAAAGCGTTTACATGAACATGGACTTACTGCTGGCCCAAGGAAATGCTTCATTGGCTACTCAAATATTAAATATCTTGGCTTTTCCTTAGGGAACAACTGCTTATCCCTAATTAAAGATAGAGTTC